AAATATAAATAATACATAGCAATAATGGCATTCATACCGAAATACAAAAAAACTCAGCACTAATGAGGAACATAATATATTGCATATTAAAAATCAAGTGTTAGGTCATTGACGAGATGGGTGAACGAGTGTGTCGTGTCCGCATTAATGGCCTCCTGAGGTAACTTGTTCCATAATGAAAGAGCATTAGGGAATAATGAGTACTGATGAACTTTGAGATGACTGAATAGTTGTCTAACTGTTTTATATGATGAATACGGTCAAAGCGCATGGACGGGTTGGTTATTTAGCGATTGGGTGGAATTTCGAAGTGACCATGGTACAATTGATAGATGAATTTTAATCGAGAGACTATTCTACGATGAGCGAGTGTTTTCAGATTTGCCTTCTCGCGAAGGGCAGAGACGCTTGCAAAACGAGAGTAGCTAGAATAAATGGACCTCAGAGCCAGGTTTTGGATCCTCTCTATTTTTTTAATGAAGTATTTTTGATACGGCGCCCAGACCAGGTCTGCATATTCTAACTTAGGCCTGATAATCATCCTCTTGAGTGTTAGTGGCAGATTATTATTCATGATTGGAGAATGCTGGCCGAATGTGATACACCCCATCCTTATTCTTCTAGTTATTTCACTCTCATGGTTCGGGTCCGCAGTTATTACCTGTACTATGTAGACATTTCTTCACAACTTCCAGCGTCTCTCCACCTATCGCAAAGTGCTGTTTTCTGCCGAGACTGTTGCACATTACTTTAGTTTTGTGCATATTAATTTTCAAACCTACTCGTCTGCTTTCCGTGTCCAGTACAGTAATCATGAGCTGTAGTTTGACTCCTCAGTTACTCATCGAGGCAATGTCATCAGTGAATCACAGGTTACTAAGATACTCTCAATTAACTCTTATCCCTAACTCTTCCCAATCTAGGACCTTAAAACCTTCTGTAAGCACGCGATGAATAGCATTGAAGAGATCGTGTCTCTCTGCCTTACACCTTTCTTTATTGGGACTCTGTTGCTTTTTTATGTAAAACTATGATGTCTGTGAATCTGTTGTAAATTTCTTCCGGTATGTTCATGTAGGGTTCTTCGATGCCCTACTTCCTCAGTGCCCGCATTTATTTATTTTATTTATTTATTAGAATACCCTCAGGGCCCGTAGGGCATTACAGAGGGGGTGGGTACAACATTTTATAACACACAAGAAAAAAAGACAAAGAAAAGAAACAAGTGTCGGATGCGCAAATCACGAAGGCAACATAAATCAACTAAAAATGTATAAGTAAGAATTCAAGCACCTACAAGACAAAGATAGATAATGGAAACTGCGTATAGTTACAAACATTGCTGAGAAATTGCAGTCTTGAATAACAAAGGGTCTGTTATTGTTACAACGGAAGAGGGAAGGTGGTTCCAATCGGCGGCTGTTTTCGGTAAGAAGGCTGCTGAAAAGAATTTGGTGCGGCAAAACGGAATGGCAACCTTATGCTGGTGATCAATGCGCGATGAGTGGTATGACGGTTGTGAAATAAGGTGCATTACTGGTGATGTCTCGACTGAGTCAAACGCCTTCTTCTAATCTATGAAAGCTACGTATATATATATATATATATATATATATATATATATATATATATATATATATATATATATATATATATATATATATATATATATATATATAGGGGTTGGTTACCAGATTGATAGTACAAATATGGTGTATTGTGGAGTAGCCTGCACAAAATCTTTCTTAGTATTTTGGTTGATTGAACTTAAATGCCGCCTGAATTCTATTAGCATTTACATTTGTTAATAGTTTGTAGAGAACAGACAGTAAGATTATTGGCCTGTAATTATTCAAGTCCTTGGCGTCTCCTTTCTTATAAATTAAAAAGATGATGGCGTATTCTGGTACACTTCCCGTCAAGAGACATTTTGTAGTGGCCATTTTTTCTAACACAATTTCTCCTCCATCTTTCAGCAGGTCCGTTGTTATATTATTCTCAGCTGCGGCTTTGCCCCTTTGTATTTTTTGTAGGGATTTCTTTACTTCCCTTCTCGTTACTGGTAGGACGCCGAATTTCTCTAGGCTATTATTGCTTCTTACGATATCGTCCTGGTTGTTTCGGCTTCTGTACAGCTTTCTGTAGAACTCCTCTGCCACCCCAACTATCCTATCCATAACTTATGACATCGCCTTCCTTGTTTCTTAATGCATACATCCGATTTTTGCCTATGCTCAAGTTTCCTTACGCAGCTTTTAGGCTTCTGTCGCTTTTTACAGCCTGCTCAATTACGGTATACCTTCTGATGTCGGATACGTTGCGCCTATTAATTAACTTCGAAAGCACCACTTACTCTATTTTGTCGGCTGTATTTGAGGCTTTCATGGTTCGTCGTGTCTTAATGAGATTTTTCGTCGCTGAGATAGTTTACCTGTGTCCTGCCTAGGGACTGAACCTCCGACTTCCATTGCACACTCCATGATGATACTAGTAAGATTATCGTTCGTTGTGTCAGCGCTAACGTCGGTTATCTCGTTTAGAGCCTCGAATCTGTTCTGAAGTGAGACTCCGAATTCATGCACTCTGAAGAAATATAACAGTGCAAAAAGCACCGGCTATACTATAGGCCTCTGAGGGCGTCGAATTTTGTGAGTTATGTTTCCTCGAGGATCCTCGCTCGGAGTGGCACCACGCAAACTACTTCACCGAGTGTGCCGCACATGCACGGTGAAACCGCTTGGCAGATACTGCGAGGTGGTGCGCGCGTGCACTTTTTGAAGTTATGCCAGACGCGCGTTATCGACTGCGGTGGCGTTCAAAAGTCTCGCATTCGGCAGTTAACCAGCTATCTCTGGCGGCCATCTCCGCTCCAAAGAGGTCCATTCTGCTGTACACTTTCTCCTTAGTTTTCTTTTCGGGGCGTGTAACCAGATGACTTCGACGAACACTTCGTCGTGCGCTGCACTCCTCGCGCGGGGCTAGTTCTTCGAACCCGGTCGAAGCGGTGGGCCTGTGTACGGTATGTGGCGGGGAAGAGGGGTGGCGACCTTGCCGGCGGTGTTCAGCTGGAAGCCCCTCTGCCGGCCTTGAGAGAAGTGGCGCCCTCTGCAGGGGCTCAGGAAGAGGCCAGGGCGAAGCATACGTAAGAACGGGCGCATCGCACCTAACGTGTTCGAGTGGCGCGCGCGACTCGCACCTTGGCTGTGCAACTCTGCAGAAAGCCGACAACCACTTCGCAGTAATTTCTCCTCGCGTAGGCGTGGCGGTTTGCTTTCTCGGGATTTCAGCCGCTGGGCGTCCTATAGCGTGTGAAAGAACAAAAAAAAAAAATAATACAAGAGAAATGATTCTAACAGCGCGCGAGTGTTATACCTCCGGATAGTTTATTGTGTGATCACAGCGCACGTTGCAAGCGTCGGTTGCGCTAGGTGTCGGGGGCCCGGCCGCTCGTCGGCCTTTCATAATATGTGTTGAGTTCATTCATTTTTTTTCGTTATGCCTACAAGCGTTATACAATGCTTATACCAAATCATTGGTTGCGGTTTCTCCTTATATTTTTTGTTATCTACTTTATCGTTTCTTCTCTAAAGGACGTCGCGACCCGAACGTGCCGGTGGGTTGGTTCGGGGTGCAAAGGAGGACTTTTTTCCAAGAATTCCGTCCACGCTTGCGAGTACGGTGTCCGGCTTAAAAGGCTCAGAAGCGTAGCTTGCTCTTTGGCGACTTGCTGTGAGGTCTGCGACGATATGTTTAGTTACGCAACAATGTGGCCTTTTTTTTTTCTGCAGACCAAGCGTTACTGCGCTCGCGGCTAGGCTGCCGTCGCTTGCAGCGATGACCATACGGCACTTACCAATCCTAAAGAATGAAAAAGACACGAAGTGATTCCCGCGAAACCTTGGAAATCACGAAAACTGATTGGCATCCCTACTGATTGCATTGTTATCCCCCTTCCCTTTTTCCACCTTGGTGTCTCGTTTCATTTTATATGTCTAAAGTGCACGAATGCTCTACATGAAAGCTAGTAAGTTAACTGTAACTTTGTTTTTTTCCCTACGGATAAATTTATCTCTTCTGCTCATGATACATAGCGGGATGTGCAGCAATAATGTGCATCAAATATGTCGTAGTTTTTTTTTCATTATCTTTGCCATGCACTTACGGTCTTGTGTGCAGCAATAGGAAAACGAATGCGCTGATGCTGTGCTTACCACAAAAGCTCGCTTCTCACTTTAAAATACTGCGTACCATCAGAGTTCAGTTCCTGCCGCTGCACTCTTCTTTTATTCCGGAAATTTTCTCAGGGTTCGATGATAGTGAGCTATGCTTGTGTGTACGTTTGATGCTCAAAAAATATTAGAAAAAACGGAGAAAATTTACGTACGTGGACAGTGTAATGGCAGCGTGCAACTGCAGGTTTTGCATTAAGAGCTCCTAGGGGCATTGCGATGGGACGACGTTATATGACGACGTTATATGGTGGTCTGGTGGCTAAGGTACTCGTCTACTGACCCGCAGGTCACGGGATTGAATCCCGGCGGCGGCGGTTGCATTTCCGATGGAGGTGGAAATGTTGTAGAACCGTGTGCTCAGATATGGGTGCACGTTAAAGAACACAGGTGGTCGAAAATTCCAGAGTCCTCCACTACGGTGTCTCTCATAATCATATGGTGATTTTGGGACGTTAAATGCCACATATCAATCAATACGTTATGTGGCTTCAACTATGACATATTGACACTTTAAAGAGAACCCGTATAGGGGGAGGGGGAGATCACTTGAAACGATGGGACATTAAAGAAGGTCTTACTTGCACAATATAACAGCAATCTTTCTAAAGCACTCTAGCTAGTAGTGCTTGTTCACCAACGGCATTAGCTGCGGGATGCAATTACGAAGTTATGCGATCACTTTAATATAGTACTACTGCAGGGACAATCTGCGTAAAACGGGTCTTGTGTGGCCCCGAAGCAAACAATGACACGCTCCTCGATGCGCAGGATCGCCCACCGAGCGAGGCCTATATCTGCCCATCGTGTTTCCCGAGGAGAAGCCGCCGTGTCCTGCTGGTCTCGTGTGCCGGGACATCACGCTATGCTCGTCGGCCATCAACCAGGTACGCAGTGGCGGCAGGCCCACTATCTGCGGCTGGAATCGACACGTGGCCAAGGTGTGCTGCCCGCAGGACTCCAGGGTCGGCACGGGCCGCCCTTATACACCAGAGTTCATCGCTTTCCGCAGGCCTTCGGGTGAGTAGTAACAATGGTCAGTTCGCATTTGCTACGCCACTGCCGAGTAGCACTCGTGCAGTAAAAAAAGTTGTAAATTTGACCCTAGGCCTTTCTAGTAAACATTGAGGTCTTCTCTGTGCAGTAAAACGCCGCAAAACACCATATTGAACGGCTTTGTGTACACTCTGCACGCGAGCTGACATCCCAACTATATGCAAATGTGCCGGCAGGGATTACATGTGCGGTGTCGATGTTGCATACGTACGCTTAACAAGGTCATTGTTGCTCAGTAATGCGTCGTTATAGGTATCTTTACGTACGCACCGACGCACGCGTGGAATGTCTAGATATTAGCTGCGTGTGTTGTCTAATTATTTTGGCGATGTGCTTGACAATTCACTGGGAGCTAGTTGCGGTATGTGAATGTATGTGCGGTATGTGAAAGAGTGAACGGTTGTGTGTGAATGGTTGCGGTATGTGAAAGAGTATGTGAATGCCTGAAGTCTTACATATCTCACCTTTGTGATTCCGTTTGACATCGCAAAACCAAAACCTTTTTGGCACCTGCCCCTTTCCTAGGACACCAATCAATGGCGGTTTTTAGCGCCTGCGTTCAACGTCAAATTGTCAGTCAACAGAAGTAGGTTGTTTAAACTTCGCCACTGCATATGAAAAGACGCTGAAAATTGTGGCATAGCACAGTGTTGTCACTCAAAGCAAACTGGCGGTGCGATGAACGTCGTAACCCGGTCCAAACGACATTTAGGCCTTAAACTGAGTTGGGACTGTTAGATGCGACACCCCCATGGAATCTTGTAGTCATGGCTTGATCGAACTATATAAGCCAAAATTTCGCAGTGTTCGCCGAGTTCGCTGCGAGGAGGATTGTTTCGAGAAGTGCGCCCTCGCGAACGAACGTGGAAGGCTCTCGTGCGTCGTAAGTGTCGCACATCCTGCACCGGAAACGCGTACCTCGGTGCTCGTGATTTCCGACTCGATAAGCTGGTCAGCGGGAACGGCCCCTGCTGTTTTCTGGGAAGACGTACCATGGCGGTCAGCAAAGACGTCACTCGATAAGCCGGATGACCTATACCAATGGGGCACCTAGCACTTAGAAAAGCTGGAAGACCCTCGTCACTCTGATGAGAAACACTTAGTGATCACCGAGCGACAGGAAGAAACGGCGTTCAAGTATAAGACCCATTGTGAAAGCAAATGATACCCAGGAACTCTTAATTTCATCGGCTTAATAAATTAAATGATTTTTTAATAGTTCTTAGAGAATTCTCGAGATTCACAAAGGTCAGTGAGCACGCACTTGTCTAGTATAGCTGTTCTTTATGCGCACGTTACAGTTTTTTTTTTTTTTTGCTGTATCAACGACCAAACCGAAAAAGGCTCACAAAATTGCGCTCCGTGGTTGGGGAAGCTACTAGACTAGCTTTTTTATGCTAATTAAGTGCATTAGGCAACAAGCTCTGCAAGCAACGTGGGAAACAAAACAAAACAAGCTTAGCCTTGTAGATTGGTGCGCACGCAAGCATTATGATCCGTGCTTGCGGACTTGTTGGCGAATACCAACGAATGATAATAGCTGGGGTTTAACGTGCCGAAAACCGCGACACGATTATGAGAGACACCGTAGTCGAAGGCTCCAGGAATTTCGACCACCGAGGTTTCTTTAACGTGTACTTAAACCAAAGTACATGGGTCTCTAGCAATTAACCTCCATCTAAATGCGGCCGTAACGACCGGAATGCGAATCCGCGACATTTCGGTCAACAGTCGGGCACCATTTCTATAGATAAACGTGGCGGGGTTCGAGTAACAGTGAACGTGTAGATATGTGCGCGTTCGCGAATGCGCAGCTGTTCTGAGACATGAGTCGGTCAAAGTTTGCCTGATGAAATTTCGAACAAGCGCGTATGTACGTACTACATGTATTACGGGAGACTATGTAGCGCGAGGTACGCACATTAGGATAGTAGATATACTACATAACTTGTGCCAAGAAACACATCAGACGTGCTGCAATGCATTTTTGGGAATGTCCACTTGACAAGGCGCGTTATATCACGCGGCCCACGCAGAATCCGCATACATGTACACCCAAGTTCGATGATTGATTTGTGGGATTTAACGTCCCAAAACCACCATATGATTATGAGAGACGCCGTAGTGGAGGTTTCCGGAAATTTTCACCACCTGGGGTTCTTTAACGTACACCCATGTTCATTCGAGTACCATCGCCAAGATGAAATCAACCCCGTTGAGTTCAACAAGCGATGTCGTGAGGTCGTTTCTTATCCTTGTTACAAAGGGGAAAGATGCAAGCTGCTAGGCAATAAAAGCACCCACATATACAGAAAAACAGGCTACAAGATTGCTGGCCTTGAATAATGATGCCGTGAACTAGGCATTCAGACGAATATATTATATATACCCGTGGCCCGTTCCAATTGCGCAATCGAGGTTCTCGCACATTGAACTGGTTTTTTGTATACCTCTATACGTACATAGAATAGCCCGCTATAGGTACTTCTGCCCTCCCGTTTCTTCATGGCGAGTTCTTTGGCGAAGTAAAGAACAGGCCCGGCTCCTGCGGAAGTGCTTTTCTTTATTTGCCGCGTGCGTTCCCCAGTGTTTCGTCACCGGTGGGGGAATCGTCGCAGTTCGAGTCAGCGTGATATTTTCTTTTCTTTTCTTGTTCAAGGCCACTTTGAAAGGCCGTCGCCGGACGGCCGTTCACTGTCGCTATGAAGGAGCTAGAAACAGCATTACAAGAACTGATCAGACACGCTCCGTCTGGCAGCTATAGGCGCGTGCGCTGAATAATATGCAGATACCGACAGCCCGCCGACGAAACGCACGGTTTCTGGGACTTTCGCGTGCTGTACACGTGATGCAAAATCTTGCAACTGAATTGAAAGTGTTCTGCGAGCTCACTTCTATGTGTAGTTCACTTCCTCTGTTTAGTGCTTTTGACAAGCTGAGACCTGAGCAAGATTCACCGACGCAGCCTCGTTCCAGGCTTTAGTTTCTCGTCGCAATATATATATATATATATATATATATATATATATATATATATATATATATATATATATATATATATATATATATATATATATATATATATAGAGGCCTCCCTTGCTGATGTGGCCAACTAGACCTATAATATAGGCTTGGGGATCCTGTATTGTGTTTCTGCAAAACGCTGATATATTATCAGGAAAAATTACTACAAAATACACACGACAGTGAAAAAGATGAACACATTGTGGTACTGTCCGACCTCTTGTCAGTACCGCTTCGTGCCGTACCTTTTTCTGTGCCACGTGTTTGGCGGTTGCCTTTACAAGTCATGATCATCGAATGACTTACACTCACACTCTTCCAGCCTAACGTGGAGTTGTAGGTAGCAGCGAGTTATTCCGGAACGAATAGTTCCGTGATGTATTATTTCGGTACGTAAGAGCGCGTCATATACCGGGTGTTCAAAATTAAGCTTTATGATTTTTTTAAAATTAGGCGCTCGAAGGCACGTGAGAACCACTTGTGCAAATAAGTTAAGCGGCCAGGGGGACAGAAAGTTAGATGATAATTATCGCTGTCAGCAGCCCAATTAACTAAAATTTAATAATTAACTTTTTACTGGCTGCGGTAAGTTGGCATGTTTATATTGAAAAAATGTAGGCAGTGGTGTTTGTACACAGTTTCAGTTGGAAGATTTTTTCTAGCACGCCTGTGTTCCGAGATATCCGGCTCCAAAGTTTAATTGTCTTTCGCACGATTACGCATGCAAGAGGGTGAGGGTCCGCGCAAAGCTCCTCCCTAAAGTGACGCATCTGTTGCGTGTGGTGTTTAGTGTGTGAAGAGGGTGGAAGCGTAGGCATAGGTGATAGCAATTACCCTTGCCCTCTTCGGCCGGCGAAATCAAAAATCGAAGAACGCTTGCAACCAGTGTCGTAACACGCAACTGCAGAGCCTCTAACGATAGTGGCAGATACCATGCCGAGATAATGGTGCGAGCGGAGAATCTGGATGCCAGTGCGCGTGCGTAATAATCACTAGAGAAGCATGCGTGGTCGTTGCCTGGGCTACGCGAATAGCGTGACTGCTGATGTCCGAGTACTGTAACTTTTATTGAAACAAGAGCAACAACTCCACCAATAATAACTGAAACAGTTTTATCCTTGCTAACGCATATTTCCTGCTGCTACATAAGCATATTTCGGTCATGCACAAATCTCATCGAAACTCTTCACCTCTCAAGACGTCAATGCCCCAAAAGTGTTCAAAATGCCTGCCTTCGGCAGCAACGCAAAGCATGAACCGCTGTCGCGTCGACTCGATGACTCGGCGCAGTACTTCTGCAGGAATACTCGCACAGGCAGATGTTATCCTGTCCTTCATGTCATTAACATCGCTGGGCTCTGTTACGTAAACTCGATCTTTAACGTAGCCCCAAAGGAAAAAGTCGAGCGGAGAAAGGTCAGGTGATCTTGGTGGCCAAAACATCGCTCCTGCGCGCCCAATCCACTGTTGTGGAAAACGTCTGTCCAACCAGTTCTTCGCCCTGGTAGAAAAATGTGGTGGTGCTCCATCGTGCTGAAACCATACTTGGCGCAGGTCATTCAGGGAAAGACTGCAGACAAGATCATCAATGACAACACCTAATATTTCTTCTGTGTACATCTTTCCGTTCAAGTTGTCCTCAAAAAAGTGAGGTCCGATGATCCTGTCCCCGAGTATGCCGCACCACACATTCACACTCCAGCGAACTTGATGCTTGTGCTGCCTCAGCCAGTGTGGGTTTTCTTGTGCCCAATAATGGGCGTTGTGAAGATTAACACTTCCATTTCGGCAAAACCGAGCTTCATCAGTCCAAATTATTCTGTGCAAAAAGTCATTTTCTTGATCAGTTTTGATGAGGCCCCAATTGCAGAAGTCAACTCGCCTTTCAAAGTCCGCCTCATTTAGGTCCTGATGAAGGTAAACGTGATATGGATGGAACTTGTGCTTTCTTAAAACATTTGTGACTGTTCCGATGCTGCGACCGCACTGATCGGCAATCTGTCGGATGCTGAGCTCTGGCATCGAGGTTACGCACGCGACAACGTCGATTTCAAAGTCTTCATCGACGATTGCCTTCCTGGTCCGTCTCGGAAGGTGGACAGAGCCTGTTGTGCAGAAGCGTCGAAACAGGTTTGTGAAAGTGGGCCTTGTTGGAAGGGGACGGTGTGGGTGGCGAGACGCGTAAAGCTCCATTGCTAACGAAGCGTTGCCATTCATTTCAGCCATTGCAAGCACCACGTCTACTTTTACTTTGGTAGAATACCTCACGCCAGAAGCAGCCATATTAGCTCGAAAGGACTCCACGTGGATTTCCTTGGTAGACCTTCAATGCAGAGACGCTGTGCTCTAACCGGAGGCACCCTAGTGCAGGACGGTCCTGCTAACGCGTTCACAAGAAGATGTCTCAGTGTGATCTAAAGTCACGAAAAAACGTCGCGAAAAATGGTCTCCTGTTATCGCGTTCATCAGGATCATGCGTAAGGCTCATGGCGCACCGCGCTGTCACATTTTGATTTCGCCGGCCGAAGAGGGCAAGGGTAATTGCTATCACCTATGCCTACGCTTCCACCCTCTTCACACACTAAACACCACACGCAACAGATGCGTCACTTTAGGGAGGAGCTTTGCGCGGACCCTCACCCTCTTGCATGCGTAATCGTGCGAAAGACAATTAAACTTTGGAGCCGGATATCTCGGAACACAGGCGTGCTAGAAAAAATCTTCCAACTGAAACTGTGTACAAACACCACTGCCTACATTTTTTCAATATAAACATGCCAACTTACCGCAGCCAGTAAAAAGTTAATTATTAAATTTTAGTTAATTGGGCTGCTGACAGCGATAATTATCATCTAACTTTCTGTCCCCCTGGCCGCTTAACTTATTTGCACAAGTGGTTCTCACGTGCCTTCGAGCGCCTAATTTTAAAAAAATCATAAAGCTTAATTTTGAACACCCGGTATATTTTCACATCTTCCAAGCCGCATTGATAATCTAGATATATGTGTACGGAATATAGATTACAAAACGAAACTACAACGACAAAAAAAAAAAGGTCATAGCCTTTCCCGAGTGTAAACATGGCCTTTCCCGAGTTATACAAGCCAATGACGAAGGTCGTATGCGAACTGAAATATTTGTGCCCCTCTTTTCCGTACATATTCAAATTCCTGCCAGTCCTGATGCGTGACCTGAAACTGATATCCTCGAGATTCGTCAACCAGTGGCAAAGTGTACTAACAAACAAAGCGCTTCGCTTATTTGGCTCCTGTCCTGCATGGAGTAATTCTAAAAATGTAGGCCAGCACTAAATTAAAATGTGCTATACAAAAATAAAATGTGCTTTGCAACGGATTAAGCTCCTCTTTCGTACCTTTATTTGGAAAGTCTATGATGAAAAAAAAACATATTAAACATGCTTACTCTCTTTGCCACTTGTATAGACCCTTTCAATGTTTACAAACACAGCCCCTTGAAGACAACCGGTTTTATCCATCGACGTGCCTTAATAGCATCGGTGGGCAACAAGAGGTTTAGAAAATCATCCTGCTGATTTTCTACAGTTTCTCTCAATATTCGGCTAAATATATTCAAAGAAATGTTCTTTTGAGCTACATAAAAATGATAATACTTTCCCTTCTACTTCACCCACGTTTCTTTTATGTGAGAAACGAAAAAGAGATTGTCCTTACCCTTGAAAAGAACTTGAAAGCATGCTTTAAATTTCGACGTTAGGAGCTGTTAAATGAGGTGACTGGAAGTTTTTTGGGGTACAACGCTTGTGACCTTGAAACCGTCTATATAATATGCTAAGGAGCCAGGCCTGTAGCCAGGAATTTTTTCAGGAGGGGGGTGGGGGAGTCATTTTTGAAGGCCTTAAAAAACCTGTATATTCATTATTTATTTTCAGTAAAACAACTTTCTGAATCTGAATTTAGAGGGTTGAAAAAAACCGAGCCCCCCCCCCCCCCCCCCGCCTAAATACGAGCCGGCAAGGAGCCCAAATTGCGGATTCGCATGCACAGTTGCTGTGAAAGTGCACTACTTGTGAAAGTACGTTCGTCCGTTTGTATATACAGCTGCTATGAAAGTGCATTTGCATTAAACTTTCGCCCACCCCAGTGGTATTGGTATAAGGAATGTGGCGTCACGCTGCTTACACTAAGGTCGCGAGCTAGGTTCCAGCCGCGGCGCATTTCTACGGAGGCGACATACTAGAGGTCCGTGCACTGTACGATGTCCGTACACGTTAAAAAAATACCACACAGATGGTCCAAATTCCTGCAACCCTACTCTATGGGGTACAGCACAAATTATCATATACAGAGGTCGCTAAAGCATAAGCCAATGTAGCTACCAGGGCCCGCACTCGCAAAATATTTTTTTTTCTCGTAGTGTTCGTTCTCAGTATGTGTATAGTAAAAAAAAAATTGTTGTGAATTCGTGCTTATATTATAATTCTCGGGACGAGGGTCCCACTGCAGTCGCTTGACTTTGGGACCCTCGTCTGCATACTACATTCTACGAATTTTGTATTTTGAATGAATGAATAAACTGAATGAATGAATGAATGAATGCATTCTCGTTGAATGAAGTATCATGTCAGCGCTTCGCGCTGATTCTACCTCGATCACAGCGTCGGTGGCCATCTTCAGTCACGACGAGGGCGAGGCCGCAATAGTGTGAGTCGGTCGTACTTACGCGAGCAGCCGTGTTGAGCAGCGCGCTGGAAAACAGTTCACTGCCGACGTCAGCGGGTGGGTGCGATTACGACATCCGCTTCCTCGCGCGCTGCACGCTTCGTCGCCACGCTCGACCGGCGTCATCGCCACCGATCGGAAGCACCGCCGTCCCGCCAAAGTGAAAAGCAGCGGTCCGTCGGTGCGCGCGAATCCAATGGTCAAGCGCGCTCATTGCCGCTTCCTGCAGGGAACGTGCGGGAAGAAGGAAACGCCTGCGCGTATGCATTTAGGAACCAGAAGCCTCGCTACTTGTAGACGGTGAAAATGACCTGAAGCGAGAGTGCATGCACCGAGGGCTCCAAGGTCGCGTCCACCACCAGCGCGGCGGCTGTTCCATTTGCTCGGACAGAAAGACAAAAAAACACGAGAGCGGGGGAGACGGAAAATACCGCGGCACGCGATGTCTTGCGAATCCGTGCCCCATCGCCGAAGGACGAGGAATACCCCGGTTTCTCGCGATGCGCTTTTTTTGGTGATATATAGATTATACGAGAAAACATCTTACGCTTAGTAGACTACTCATAAGTGACTGTTTGAGCCAGTCTAGTTGGTAACCGCCCAAAGGCGGTGACTTTTACGAAGGGAAACACTATGTGTCAATTCGACCCTTGATGCGTGAGTGTATCGTAATACAATGTCTCGATGCTTTATTGCATATACAGTGGTTACTAATCGTTGCTATACACCCCCCTTTTGTTGACAATCATACGTCTTACCCAGCCAGTGCTGTAGGCAGAACGCGCCTTCGCAAAGAACGAGAGAAAGCTTCGAATTCGTGGATGAAAATGGTAGACGTATACGATACCGTCGTTTTTGCTGTCCTTTTCGCACTGCTCTTGTGCCCGCATTCGGAACGGCTGCCTTTTTCATATAACATAACTCAATAAGTTTATGGCCTACACGCAAGACAAGGAATTAGAAATCAATCCCGGCTGCGGCGGCTGCATTTCCGATGGAGGCGGAAATGTTGTAGGCCCGTGTGCTGAAATTTGGGTGCACATTAAAGAACCCCAGACGGTCGAAACTTCCGGAGCCCTCCACTACGGCGTCTCTTATAATCATATGGTGGTTTTGGGACGTTAAACCACACATATCAATCAAGGAAGTAGAAATCGGCTGCAGCAGCGCCATATTGTCTTTGCTACGTTTCGGAACACATACGGCGCTCAACTTCTAAAGTTTGGGTCACATCTTTTTTTTAATCCCTATCACAGTGGGTGTGTTCATTCTGTTCGTGGCGATGTCAACATTGATGTTTTACTTCAAACGGGCTGTGAAATTGTGTGATGAAAGTTAGGCTACTCCATCTACGGCATTAGGAAATTACCTAAAATGTCCATGTGTGCTCGCAAGCTTATGAAGCGAAGCGTTTATAAGTGTGGACATTGGGAAAACGCCGGCCTATCCATAAGCTGCAATAATCAAAGCTTGTTTTGTAAAGCATAAAATAATCACTAATATTTTACACACGTACAACATAGACACTAGCGGTGAAAAGGATCAAAACTTGCTTCAGCAAATTCCGATTCGATTTGCATCGAAACGTGCTTAGGCTCTTTTCACCATTCGCGCTTCTAATGTCGTAAGATTTGCTCTCACGGATATAGGCGTGCGCACGGAGGGTGCAGAAGGGTCCTCTCTCTCGTCACTTAAAAAAAAGGGACGGGGGCGCACATTATGCCACGATAAAGTGGAGGGGCGTTGCGACAAACCTTCATTTCTAACCCCCCCCCCCCCCCCCATCTTTCAGTGCGATCTTGAGAATGCTTGTGCTCGCGCGATCATAGCCCGTTTTCAGGTGCACACTTGTAAAAAGAAACGAACATCCTTTACGTCACGCAGAATGTGGAATTCTGGTCATACCACAAATCAACGCTTCTGCCACGACGAAGATACCGAAAACGCCGACGCTGAAGACGTCCACCAGTAGGAGCAGTACATCACGGTCTACAAGTTTGAGTTCGACGCGGTTTCCGTCGACTGTGAAGAAAAGCTACGTTTACTCGACGGCGACGTTTCACTCAAAGGTTAGAGACATCCGACACTTTATATGAATAATGTTATAACTAATCAAGTATCCAATAATAAATCCTAACCCACATGTGGAACCCTGACACGCGGGTCGAGGCAGGTTTATTTGTTCTGATGTATTGTGTGTAACATCACCACCACGCGAACGCAGACTACCGGTCCTTCCGAACGTGAATCTTTAGCGGAAATATAGCTTAAAAAAGCAAAAATATATTAGACTTGAAGATACGTCATTTTTTAAATGATTGCTTGATGCGTGAGCTCCGATATGAGTGTTTGTGTCACTTACACGTGATATGCAGTGAAAGTGACAGAAGGGGCAACTCTCGGAATAAATGCCAAGAAAAAAAAAGTATAGCACAGACTCCACGGGTGCAGAATTAAGCGAAAACAATTTTCCTTTGGTAACTGCTGAAATGTATATGCCTGCAATAGCGCCCCCTTTAAAAAAACGTTTTCATTTGACATTGCTTAATATTGATGCTTTGTTTGGTATCATTGCAACCAAGTGATGATGAACTATGTAACAATGTAGGCTATTAAACATAAAAGAAAGTGCAAACAAATCAAATACACAGAAAAAAACAAAAAAACATAACATTTACAGTTTTGTATTTCTGATGGATAGTAACTATAAGGGCGAATAACTTTATTAGTACGAGTTTCAGATGGCTGTAGACACTCTATCGCATGATAATTAGCATAGACGCTTCGAGAAGCTACAGCGCCAGCGCTGCTTAAATTTTCTTACTGTTTTTCACGGACTCGTCCTATAGTAGTCACTAATATTAGCCGATGATTCCGAGAAATCAACGTGATATAGAAGAATAAGGCAAACACTTTTCGTTTTTCTTTATCTACCAATCATTATTTTTGTTCATATAATCAGGTCAAAGTCATGCGATGGTGCACGGCCTTTATTTTGTCTGGTGGAAGAGCTAATTGTAAGTTCTTTGCTCTGAAACAACATCTATGATGACGGTTCTGCGGGGATGAACTCAAAAAAGAGTTTGATACGGGACGGGAGAATAAGCATTGTTGGCTGGCTCATAAAAGCAGGAGCTAATGCTCGTGCTGTAAAGTCACGCTTTCGGACGGGTGCGTTCATGGGAATTATAAACGAGGCACTATGTGAACGTTGGGGGAGGAAAATGCGCACACAGTGGGGCAAAAGGTTTCTGCATGCGCAGGCGAACGCGAATGCGAGCCGGCAAGGATCGGTGGCACCGCCTGTCCGCGGCCACACACACACCACGCTGCGGCCCAGCGCGAACTTCGGCTACAACGTCAACCAGCGGAGTACGTCCGCCTACCTGACCACAACGCCACCGTACTCAGGGCGGGCGTCGCCACCGCAGCGGCATGTACCTGTGACTCCGCAGCGGCAGGACCCGGTGACGCCGCAGCAGAAGGTCCCTGTGACGCCACAGAGGCAAGTCCCTGTTACGCCGCAACGGCAGGTCCCTGCGTCAGCGGCGGCTGGTCCAGTGGTACCAGTGGTGCCGGCAGCGGCTGGGGTGGTTCCCGCTATTCCAGCAGCAGCTGGGGTGGTTCCGTCTGTACCGGCAGTGCGGAACCCGGCGCCTGCACCACCGCCGGCACCGTCCCGAGGTGGTCACGTGCACTACAACGTCTACCAGAGCAACCACGTGGTGAGCAGTCACAACCAGTACGAGTACACAGAGTTCCGAGGTTCCTCCGGTGACCGGAACTACGTCTCCGACGGTGGTGGCAACCACCACCAGTACTGGGAGCCGCCACCGCAGAACCAGCAGGGCTACGCTAACGGCGGGGAACGCGCGCCCAATGACTGGTATAGCTACAATACATTTGCCAAGAGGCAGGCCCGCTCCATCCGCGACTGGGGCAAAGGGTCGCGTGAGGACAAATTCACCAACGATGTTCCCCTCAAGAAGGACTTCTACAAGAAGGGCTTCTCCAAGAAGAGCTTCTTTAAGGTGGCCTTCTCTAAGGAAGAGAAGAAACGGCGCTACGACTGGGTGCCTAAGAAGAAGGCAAGAAAACGCTTACATGACGCTTTGCGCGGGTGCTTTTGATGGGCGGTGCACGGCGGAAGTCGCCAGGGAAATGCTTCCGTAGCTCTAATGCGCAGTAATGCAACGTCTTTCTCGATACGTTCTTCCAGCATTCTTTCAACGATAGTTCGGAGATAATGCTTTTTCTTCGGAACATTGTTGAGAAGAGAATGAGCTAGCTTTCTGTAAAAACTCAAGAGACTTTGCCTAAACCAGCATAGTTTATTTCTATGCCATGTTATTGTAATCAGCAGAGCACTAGCAGGCGGAGGACGTAAGGGAGACACTTGTATCTCTTCCTTTTACCCTCTGTCGACTGGCGCGTTGTTACAATTACTAGATACATCGGAGCCTCGTGTTTTGAAAGCGGGATACATATTAAGAATGGAGTCCATAGTATAGGCAGCGTATATTTATTATGTTTGTACTTGCTGATTTTACGAAATCATGGCAGAGATACGCAAAACATTTCGAGCGCCTGATCCTCATACTTCGGCCGTCTTCGCTAACTGGCGTGAACGGTATCAACGCCAATGCAGGTGGGTGTTGTCAGAGCGAGGCCGCCGGGCACTACGCACCATCCGCGGCGCACCAAGCGGACGGGAAAAGTGGACGCCCGCGTGGCAGACCCAGACCTCATCAAGGCCATCGCACCGGCGGTCAGCCTCGTGGTGGGAGGCCAGGCGGATTACAACACCTGGCCCTGGATGGTGGGTTTCTTCAACTCGGCACTATAGTGGCTGTGGCACGACCCACATTGGTCGAGAGCCGCACGGCTTCACTTGCTTGCGACATAGGACACTACAGTGTGATAACAGTGTACTACAGTGTGCAATTGCATTGCGCCGTTTGCCAAAGATAAAGTTTGCTTCAATAATATACACATCAGAAGATCTTTTTAGTCTTTTATGACTTCGTAGACAGCAATGTCGACACGAACACGTTGGCTGATAACACTGGGACGCCAAAATACCTCGATCACTCATTTGAACACTGTTGCGCATCTTCAATGTTTTGTGAAGTGGTTCTTAGTAATGCTTCTTTTACATTTTGTTTTGTCCAGGCGGCCATACTAATGGGCAGCGAGCTCAAGTTTCTTTGTGGTGGATTTCTCATCAACGATCGATACGTTTTGTCAGCGGCGCATTGCTTCGAAAGGCACAGGTGAGTAACAACGAATCAGGTAAAGTGCACAACGAAATCTCTTGTAGAATCTAAGATGAACCAAAACCAATTTTTTGCACATACAGGCACTTTGTTAATGTCATCTTCACGTGTGTCTTTACATCCTTGACCACCTGCTAACTGACTCACCTTTTAACGCTTTGCTTACTTGCTTAAGGTGTTGAAAAAAGTGTACGTACAGAATGTCAGTAGAAATGAACCTTTATTAAAAAATAACCTGCAGGTAATAAGAGCCCATCAGCGTTGATCGGTCACCTGCCTTCACTACTAATAACATGACCTTTGTATAATCATAATCTCAAGTTTATTTTTACAAGCAATCTGGAGTAACAGTGCTTTGCTGGTACTGTAGTCACTCGTAAGAGAAAATTCAGATGAACTTAAAAGCTATTATCGCTGAGGTATTTTACAGAATTCCATCGACTTTATATAAAAGGCCGTTCTTCAAAAGCCGCAAAATTCAGACTGTGTAAATTGCATACCAAGCGTTCATCATTGCAGCAAAAAAAATTAAAAGGAAGCATTTACAAGCGCTAACGACGTACACAAAGTTGCTATATAACGAACGTGAAAAACTTGACAACTTTGTCTTTTGCAGGCGTCGATATACAACAGTGCTCGCACACTGTTTCTCGAATTTTCATAAAGTCGTCAGTATGTTTAAGTTTACTGTTGGTGCACGTCGCCTGGGTGCGGGCCACGAACTCGTCATAGCAGGCCTGCATATTTATTAACGCGTATGGAAGATGTAGCGTCAATACACCTACATGATTTAGCGGTGGGCGCTCGTGGTGAACCTATTCTTTTTTTTTTCGTGAGTATGCGTACTTTGAAAATTCAAGTCCCGCTATCGCTGTGTACCCTTCCTTCCTTAATATTACGTTCATTCTTTTCTGAGTGTGCGCAGCCAGTTCTGCGTGGCGAGTGGCCCTGGTTTAACGTATACATGAGCCATTCCTTGAGGTCACAGCGAAATCAACGATTTTCTCAGGGGCTATGTGCGTAGTTTAATCGCAAGATCACCAATGTTCTGAGTGTGGAGGCTGAATCGCTCATTTCACGTAATACGAACAGCGCGTGGATAAGCAATGGCTATAGGGCGATGTATACTTATAATATTTTGTTTCCTGCGACGTAGACCAACGCAGAAGTACGGCGTTCGCCTGGGACAGATTCGCGTGGACGAAGGCCGCGTGTACACCGTGGAGAGGTTCGTGCAGCACGAAGACTACGCGCGCCGAGAGTACTACAACGACATCGCGCTGTTGCGTCTCACCGAGTCCGTCCCGCTGGCGCTCATCAAGCCCGTCTGCCTGCCCGGCCCGGACCTCGCACGCTCTGACCTGGTCGGCAAGGAGGCCACCGTCCTCGGATGGGGAGACACCATGTTCGGTAAGCACCATGTCATAAATGCTATGGAGTTGCCCAATAACACACAACAGGAAAATCCGGTGCTAGTGCCTATAGGAACTGCAACGCCAGCGTGGAATTGATAGTATGATGCTTAGATAATAATTATGAATAGTACATGAATTTGTCTAATCTTAGTTCTTTTGGCTCCGTCGGACTTAGTTTGGCTCCGTGTGGCCTGCAGCTGCTTGGTTGCAAGAAGTTCAGCGAATGTTCAGCAGTTTCACTTCATACCCTCAACCTTTTTAGGCTCACCGATTTATATCAGGTCGCGAACTAGGCGCGTCGCAAGAATGTTTTTTTGGGGGGGGGGGCACATCTTTGATTTCAGGAGGGGCACCCTCTTGAAATTGTCAATTTCTCCTCTCTATGTCATGGTGAAAAAAAATTCGAGGGGGGGGGGGGCACTTGCTCGGGGTACCACCTCCTGGCTACGCCCCTCCATTGATCCGTTTTTTTATCCGAAACAAGACTCAAAAACACAATAAACGAAGCCACAAGTGCATTCGAAGTAGCAAGCATGAATATTAGGCGAATCTTTGTGCTAGCCATGGTGGCTGAACGATCAGAGAGCGAGAGTTCCATTTAGTTAATATTGTATGAAACCCTTCTGATGAATGCTACCATACTACAGAGAGCAAATTCGGTACGCTACGCAGAAGGGAACACAGAGGAAAGGACAAGCGCAATCTCAAAACCAGCTTCATTGTGCAAGAAAAAAAGCTCTGCTGCATATATTTACTCTACAGCTAGCATGCGCACGCGTACAACCTCTCATAACCAGACACAAACTGAAAAAGGCATTTTGTGAGAATGAAAATTAGAACCTGAAGTCTAAGTAGTAATTTGTCGCGCAACACCACGGTAGTATCACAGACACAATCACTTTCTTTTCTTTTTTTGATGTGGTTTGAATTTATAGTACTCGGGCCACCCAATTCTGGTTCCCTAAATTGTGATGGTGAAGCGCTTGCTTCTACCCCAGGTGGTCGAAATTTCCGGAGCCCTCCACTACGGCGTCTCTCATAATCATATGGTGGTTTTGGGACGTTAAACCCTCCATATCAATCAATCAAGCGCTCGCTTCTAGCGTGTACCAAAACACGCCATCGCGGGACCTCATTTAGCAATCGGAACCAAATTTTCGAGTGCAATGGTATAGCCATTGGGCAAACATGGAACACCATATATGTTGCTACCCTGACTGTATACTGTCGTCCTTTATGAAAGGGAACACGCGAACGCGTGGCCTGCGCTCTGCGGCGGCTGCTTACAGCCCCATCAACCGACAAGTGAAGAAAGCACGTTCGATTTTGGCGTCATCTATGGCCAAGCAAGATAACGAGTCATGGCCAGTAGACCAGCGCTGCTAGACTACGTTCTCTCACAGCTTGCGCGGAGAGCGATATGGGGCGGTCACTGCAGCCTGTGTCGTGGTCGCGTACAACGTTTGATATGTTGGCAGTAGACTACGCACTGCAGGCCTGAGCAGAGAGGGAGTGCAATCTAGCAGCGCTTGTCTACCGGCCACAACTCGTTATTATTTTTGGGGGGGGGGGGGTGGGGGGCAATAGATGACGCTGAAAGTGAAGCTGCTTTCTTTCGCTGTCGGTTGATGGTGCTGTAGGCAGCCGCCGCAGAGCGCAGGCCACGCGTTCACGTGTTCCCCTTGTTAAAGGACGACAGTGTACAGTCACGGCTATAAGTGAAGTCATCATCATCATCATGAGCCTGTCTGAATCCACTGCAGGACAAAGGCCTCTCCCATGTTCCGCCAGGCAACCCGGTCCTGTGCTTGCTGCTGCCAATTTATACTCGCAAACTTCTTAATCTCATCTGCCCACCTAACCGTCTGTCTCCCCCTAACCCGCTTGTCTTCTCTTGGAATCCAGTTAGTTACCCTTAACGACCAGCGGTTATCCTGTCTACGCGCTACATGCCCGGCCCATGTCCATTTCTTCTTCTTGATTTCAGCTATGATATCCTTATCTGAAGTAACTTGTAACAAATGCGAGGCGTGCGCAGGGTTACCTTTCAGGGAGACGAAGGTTTGTTCCAGTGCCCCCCTCCCTATCGGTTCAGTGTGCGAGGCTGACTTTGTGCCCCTTCCCCCCTCTTAGGTGGCTTGGGGGAGGGTCACTATCCCTCACCCCCCGTGCGCACGCCTACGAACCCATGTTTGTTCAAATAGAACTATATTATTCTGACGTAACGACGAGCAACAGATTACGTCAGCTAATTTGTCGATTATCTTACCGAGCAGTCGTCGGCTACGTCCGGTGTAGGCAAATGCATTAAGTTATGTGATAGTGTTAAAGAAGCTCCACTTGATATTTTTCGTTATTACAAACTCTGAAGTTACCGGGAATCCAGCACCATGGTAGCAGGCGCTGATACAAGTTACTAGCTAGCAAACGCTCGAAACGGCGTGTCTGCTTTTTTCATTTTGTATTGGGCAGTGGTTTGCTGAGACCTCTGGTAGATTGCAGCAACTCCTGTTTAAAAGCGACACGCGCTCATAAAGAGTGTAAAAAATATACCCCGCGGACTTTCCCCGTTCGTTTATCTTGGTAATTATATTATTATTATTTTCATTTTATTTCGCAATCACGGGAATGCTTCGGCCACAGCATGCGTCTAAAGAAAGAAACAGTGGTGCGGAAAGGTCGCCTGCCGATGGCAGAGCGAGGGGAAACTACCTGAAATGCTGCGGTACTCTCGCGGTATACACGCGCCCAGGAAACTGTGACTGGGAGAGTGCAGAAGCTAGTTGCAAGCCTAACGTCGATGCAGTCAACGCGCTTTACAATTTGAGCAGGGTGTGTGTATGTATGTGTGTGTGTGCGTGCGTGCGGACTAGACCTAGGTTCTGCACTTGTGAACAGACATTATGCACTTGACAATAAACACCCCTTTGTGCCTTCGTAAAAGCGACAAAGTTATACGAAAAGCCTGCAACGCTTGCTTCAATACGACAACGACAAAAATTTGTAGCATATGGTGTATAGTAATACGCGACGCCGGTCTAGTGCATCACTTGCGACTGCAATTAACCTTCAGCCCAGAAACAACACAAAGTACACTTTCGTTTTTCTACAGTGGGTAGCCAAATATTTCCCCATAAAAATTTGTTGACACAGGTGCACAAAATTTTGTTGACATAATCATGCCGACAGAGGGGGAGCGAGAAAGCCAAACAGAACATTTAATTTTTATTATACTCGCCGCTCATTTGCACCATCGATAACATCACTGTCATTAGAGATGGCGTTTTGTATGGTTTCTGATATACACCAAGCTATTTAAGTGCTCAGGCTTGTGTTTACGTCGTAGTTCATTAATGTTACCAGGGTACACTCACGCATCTGTCGACATACTATGTGGCACGTCATCGCGTGAAAATGGTGTACGATGTAGGAATACTGACAGCAGCGGCACACCACTCGCAGGTGGTCCACGCAGCGACATCCTGCAGGAGGTAAACGGCCTGCCTGTGGTTCCGGTGAAGCAGTGCAACGAGTCCTACTCCAAACTACGGGGCAACCCATTCCGCAGAGGCATCACGTCCGAATTCATCTGCGCCGGCCTCCCTCAGGGTGGAAAGGACGCCTGCCAGGTAAAAAGAAAAGAAAAAAAATCTGCATCCGTTTTTTTTTTTTCAGGCGGGTCTTGGGTCCCGGAAGATACGATGTCTCCACCATATACCTGTACACACATGGACAGTGATGCGCTTAGGTATTGCGGAGCTCATCAAACCCTGTTTTACGGATTTCCGCTACCGCGCTATAGAAATAACGAGACGATCGTCAATGGCGATGCTATGAATTGATTTCCTCTTCGATGTCGCGATTTGTTTTGCTGTTGACGAATCATCCTGTTTAAGAAACACACACATACACACACAAACATGTCGCTATAAAAGAAAAGCGTGTTTACCTTGTGCGTAGAAACAGCCTTGCTGTGAAGCGGGAACGTAGGAACCCATTCAGGAATTATCCATTTATTATTATTCGTTTCTTTACAACACCCTAAGATTTTCAGTCCCCTACAAGGGGCGTAAAAAAACGCAAACCTCACAAACAGCGAAACAGTGTTTCGTGGCCGAAATGCGTATTAAAAAATATTACATTCAGATGGACCAGGGGATTGAAATTACCGTCTGGTATTCAAGTTACGTTTCCCCTTCCTAAGTGAATAAAAACTGACAGCCGCCTTCACGCTTCACCTAGGACGACTGGGAGGCAAAAGTCATGTTCCTTTTCTTCCCAGTCAATGAATAAATCCTTCTCCCCCCCCCCCCCCCTGCCTCTCCGAAATCTCTCTGTAGCTAATTTGGTTTTGCATTGCCTTCGGGATCAGAGGCAGCTAACATGGTTTTGCATTGCCTACTTGATCAGCCCACCGTTAACCTAGCTAGGATATCATGTGATGACGTCATCACGTGACGTCAGTATGATGTCATAATTACGCTGATATTATTGGTGATCTCTCACATCTTGAAGACGTCATATGGGGACGTCATGATTTTTTGTCTCACTCATGTTGACGCGAACGTGAGACGCCGGTCAATTTTCGCGTTTAATGAGGAGGCATATATCAGGCTATCGCTTTAAAAAAATAAAAATAACTTTAAGCTTTGTTTATTTTTTTACAGTATCGAATAAAACTTAACGCCACTATTGATCGCGTCCTGACATAGCGTACAAAAAAAATGAACATGAGTGTGAACTTGCAATTTTGTCGAAGCATGTTCATGTGCTTTGTGGCTATGGTGGTTCGAGACCATACCAGCATAATTACTGGTCGCACGAACGATTCTTTGATGTACCATTATTTTGATATCGTCGTGATATCTTTTAGTTGCGTTTTAACTGACCACATTGCTTCCGAGCATATATTGCAATGTTTTTATATGTTCTTAGTTCAATTTAGATTTTTATTGCGCAAAAATCAGCGCGAAGAAATAATTAACATAATAAAGAAAACGAGGTGAGGTGGTGCGAGTGAAGCACTTTGTGCTAAGGTTTAATGTCCTAAGACCGTGGACGATATTGATCATTTGGTGCGCTGTTGAGGAGGGCTCAATAAACTTTTACCTCCTGGGGTTATTCCACATGCACCTAAGCTAATGTACACGGGCCTCAAGGATTTTAGCCTCCGTTGAAAATACGGCCGCTGCCACCAGGAATTTCAGGCCAGGAGTCCAGCTCTGTAACCACCAAAACACCGTTGCTGGTAATTACTTCCCTAACCTGAACATCGAGAACAAAATGAGGATATGTCGTTTTTCGGGCCGTGAGTGTGGCATCTGATATCGCAAGGCTCAATGCAACGGGGGACACACCATATGGCCCTAAATGTGTGGTTACGACCACGACTAAGGGGTATAGGCAAGCGTGTTTGCGTGTCGCGCAGATGCATAGGATGCGTGCCTTCGCCCAGCGGAAGATGACGCCACTGCCGTCCCGATGGGCGCCCGTAACAGGAACTGGTTACGCGTTATTTATTTGTGACCCCGAAACGGGAGGACCACTCAGCCGAACTGGTCGGGATGCCTCGTGCTTTGCGGGTTGACGGCCACATCATTAACCCGACTGCACCCAGTCATTGCGAAGACGTGCTTTCATTACAGGGTTGAGCTTACACAAGCCCGATCCACGTAGCCGGTAACTGTATACTTACTTGTCTAATACGCGTCTTTGTATAGCTGCACTGGATACCTGTTGTGAGCTGCAATTTTAGGACCGCACTTACGGGGCTTGGTTGGCACTCGGCCAAGAATAGACCTTGCACGAGGCTAAGAGCGCGTTGTGTTTCTTTCTGCTTGCATGTTGCAGGAGTGTCTCTCTGTTTGCAAACATCCTTGAACTGTGAGGGCTGCAATGAGCAGGTCAACCTTACAGCCGGCTTCCCCGTTCTCTTACTGAGAAACAATTGCGTCACAAGGTGCCGAGTGCGCGACTCATCATTCCGTGCTGCGAGAAGGTGTCTAGCAAAAGAATCTCTCGAGAGGTTGATTCTGTCTCGCTCCCAAAACAGTTCGATCGTTTTGCGTCCGTTTGCTTGCGGTCGAAGTCTGTCATTTGGCAATGTTTGTTCGAATAAAGCAGTGCCAAGTCATCCAAATATGGCGCCAAATTCGCCGAATCAGAATATTCGTTATGATGAGTGCGGCTGACGCAAGAGACTTTTTGACGTCGATATATATACGTTACAGTTGTTATGCGTCGCATGTCCGTCTTTCGATATCTTGAAATGTGATATGGCTGATTCGGACCTGTCTAAATTGCACGAAAACTCAAATGGAGGGCACAGAATTGTACACGTTCGCAAGTTATATTGTAGTATATTTCGCACGATGTACGCACAGTGGACATGCAAGTCGAGGGAAAAGTACGCCATCAATTTATATGTGGGGTATAACGTCCCAAAACCACCATATAATTATTGGTGTCCTCGATTAGCAGATTCGGAGTGGCTGACGAACTCTGCGCCGGAGACTACACTCTGGAGGCGAGCAACAGGAGGGAATCTACCAACGGAACACATGCGCTCCCTCTGGAGCAAATGGTAGGGTCACAATGGAACGCGATACGCGCGTCTCTCTTCTTGCATGAGTTGGCGTGCTGCGCACAGCGACTCCGCTCTAACGAAACGTGTGCTCCGACGCGAGGCGCAACCGACGCGACTGGCGTCCGTTGGCACGCCCAAAGTTTGCACCGTTTCAAGGCACGGTGCGCTTGCGACTTCCGGTCAAATCCGCAGATTTTCGCGGAGTTGAAAAATTTGCTCCGGGGAGTGAATCTCGCGACGGAGCTGCTCGAGATCTGCCAATGAAACATACACGGAGCACTCTCAATCCGCGAATGAAATAGACTTATTTCCTCATGGAGCAGAAAAAAAAAGTATTAGCGGAAGTGCTCCGATTCTGCCAATGAATGACACCGTATGAGAGACGCCGTAGTGGAGGGCTCTGGAAATTTCGACCACCTGAGGTTTTTTAACGTACTATCGCGATGCTGCAGAAGTAATGAAAATTCCAGGATATACTTCTTTCTTCGTTAACCACAGCACCCAAATTTGAGCACACGGGCATAGAGCGTTTCCCCCATCGAAAATGCAGCCGCCGAAGCCGGGATTCGATTCCGCTACCTGAGGGTCAGCAGCCGAGTACCTTATCCAGTAGACCACCGCGGTGGGGGAAAGTACGTCATTCAGTAGTTAATTTTTGACATTAGTTAGTTTTATGTAAGCGGCCGGCGTTCAAGCAAACGACGCGGGAGGAGAAGCTCTCGCCACCTCGCTTCCCTAAAAATAAAAATAATTATACAGAGTAAGAAAAATTGCCTAAAATAGTTTGCATACATGTATTGAATAAGGCATCTAAGTTTTCCGATCCAAATATTGCTGAACGCTTTAAGGCAGCATCGATAACAAGCTTTAACCACACACACACAAAAAAGGAAGATCTCACATACAGTAGGAAACGATGATATGTGAAGCACGAATAAGGAAGGTTGATATGTCGCTTCAAAATCAACACAGCGTTACGAGGCGGGCGCTAATTGTGCCGTATATGAATTCCATGCCATCATTGTGAAGTTTGGACGTGTCCTTTACTTTTGTCGTCTATTCACGTCACGTGATACCAAATTTGGTATAAATGGACCCAGCGAAACGGCCACGAGCACGTTATGAGCGTAGCGTTTAGTCATATTTGCATTGTACGCATGTCGTGATTATCATGTTTGGACGTGGCAGTTACCTTCGTTGTCTATCCAAGTCACCTGATACCAAACTTGGTATATGTGGAGCTAGCGAAACGGCTGCCAGAGCGCTATGAAAGTAGCATGTAGTAATCTTTTACATGACACGCTTATCTTGGTTATCATGTTTGGATGTGTCATTTACCTTCATCATGTGTTCACGTCACGTGATGCCAAGATTGGTATATGTGAAGCTAGCGAAACAGCCGTAAGCGCATCATGCGCGTGCCACGTAGTCATATTTTTAAGTGACACGCATCTCATGATTATCTTGTTTGCACCACTCATACACTTTCGTCGTCCATTAAATTCACGTAATGCCAAAATTGGTATATGTGTAGCTAGCGAAACGGCCGCCAGCGCACCATGAGCGTATGGCGTGTAGTCATTTACATGACATGCATGTGATGATTTCCACGTTAGAGCACGCCACTTATGTTCGCCGTGCAGTCACGTCATACTATACCAGTTTCTCAATATGTCATGCGAACAAAACCACCGCAAGAGATACAAGACCATGAAATATAAATTATGTCATTATTGACACACATGTCACGATTTTCATGTTATCAATAGCGACTTATGCTCGTCATACAGTCAAACTAACTTCGCTATATATACCATTATCGAAACGGCCCGCAGAGCTAAAAGGTCGTAGGCGGCTAGCTAGCTAGCTAGATAGATAGATAGATAGATAGATAGATAGATAGATAGATAGATAGATAGATAGATAGATAGATAGATAGATAGATAGATAGATATGCTTAAAGTCGCCGAAGTTCGCTAAGAGATGCTTCGTATTTAGTATGTTCAGTCGTTGATCATAAAGCTATCATATAGACAAAGGTGT